TCTCTCTTCTTTACCCTCTTAGCTGCTCTTAAGAGGAATTTTGGAGAGCGCAATTTGAAAACCACATCTGTGGACCATGGGGAGTAACCAAAAATTTTAAAGCAGGGAAGTGAATGACATGATGGGACCTGTGATGAAATAAGATTGTTAAGGAGGATGGTCTGAAGAATAAAAAGGCTTGAGTAATGGAAAACCAGTTAGGAGGTTTTTGTAACCTTGGAACCATCTGAAAGAAACCTGACCTTAAGCAAAGACAATAGGGATAGAGAGAAGTGGGTGGATATGAAAGACATTTCTAAAGGCTGTGTTAACAGAACCTGGTAGACAATTTATAATAAGGGTGTGGAGAGGGGAAGATTGTTGGGTGAGGAAGAAGGGGTAAAAGATGATTATATGGTTTCTTACTTAACAATTAAAAGCAACCAACTAGTACATGGGAAATCTCTAGTCTAATTTCTAATAACCAGCTTATTTTCTTTGAGTTTTCACTAGCTCAGATAACACCAACATGTTATGTCACTCACACCTAGATCTGTTGTCCTTAATCTTTATTCATCTAATACTTGACTTTGCTATTAAAACCCTTTTTGCTGTCATTGTTGTGTTGGCTACAACTGTATTTGTCTCTCATTAGCAAGGCAGTGGGTAGCAATTTTCTTTTTTTACTAAGAGGGTCCCGAGCTTACTCACAGGATGTGTTCCAAAAGTACCTTTTTAAGTTAATTATTTGGACCTCAGAGTGCATTTTCCCATAGAAGTGGCATTATACATAGTGATTAGCTTCCCAGGCCAGTCTACAAAAGCCAGTTTAGCCCATGTATAACTGAAAGTGTGGATTTTTGCAATGGAAATCGGTTCGAAATAATACTGTTGCAATTAAAATGAATACAATAGTCACAAAAGAAATGGTCTGGGTCTTTGTTGCCCTCAAAGGGTAGGGCTTAATGAAAAGCAGGTTTAATCCTAGGAAGACAAAGAGAAATGGATGAGGATTTTTGTGGTAATTGGACACTGCAGTTTTTAAACTGTATTTTCTAAATAATGTTTTGGAGGTTTTCAAAATAATAAAAGCAACTATGTTCATTGTAGAAAATTTGGAAAATCAAAAAAAAATTAAAAATTAAGTCACCAACAATCCTGCCATCCAGAGAGAACCAGTGTTCACAAATTGGTGTTTCAACCTTTTTCTTACTGCATGCATTTTTTTAAATCAGTTCACCAATAATAATTATGATGCATTCACATGATGAACTATTATGCAGCTCTTAAAATGATGTTTATGAAGAATTTTTAAAACATCAAAGAATATTTATGACATAGTATTGGGCAAAAGGCAACCTTGCATTTGATACCTGTTTAGGGTTGAGGGAGTATAAGCAGATCAACACTAATCAACCAGGGCAGGAGTCTGCTGTTAGGCCACCAGTCAACATCTCCTACTATCAGAACCACCCCCTAGCAAAAACTACAGCCAGACTTTTTGTTGAAGTTCTGAGGAGGACATGAGGGTTCTTTGAAGTAATGTAGAGGTTTGTAGCACTGGCTCCTCATTATTTCTGACTTTCCTTCAAATTACAGGGCTTTCTTCTCCCTTGATATACTGTCTCACTGGCACTACTCAGGCTTAAAAACTATTAAGATAATTTTTTGGATTCATAAATGGAATGGAAAAAAGGGCCATGTATTTCCTTAGGTAATTATGCATAAATTGAAGAGAGATGAGAAGGACTTGGATAGAGAAGATGTGTATATAGAAGAAGAAAATTATGTGGAACAGAATGTATTAAGCAAAGAATGGTGAAAGAAAAGTGAGAAATGTAACAGTATAGCATGAATACAGATCTACAGAGAGCAGAAATGAGTATGGGAAAGGGAGGACAGAGGTGTGTTTGCTTAGGTCTAGGCTTGGCTAAGAGTAAGAAAAAAAGCAACAGTGACTTTGGAGACGTTGTAGCCAGCTGAAATAAAAGGGTTTTAGTAGGAGGCAGTGAATGCAATTTGTATTAACTGATTTTCTTTTAGGGAATACAAATATTTGTGGGGACAGGTGCTTCAAGCACTAATCATCCAAGAACAAAAACACTTTGAACTTAATTGACTATATCTGCTATGATTGTGCACTATTTGATTTAACCCAATTAGTCATTTCCCAAAAGCATCTCATCTCCTTTTGGTCAAAGCTGGATTTGTCAGTGACTTGTATTGTGGCATGGGAGTCCTAATAGCTGCCAACTGCATTTCCTGTTCATCAATAAAGGTATTGAAAATTACAAAGGAATGAGAGTTGGAAGAAAGGAAGATATTCATTTCGTAAGGGTGAGGGATGTATTTACATGTGGGTTTTTAAGTGTACAGTACTAGGAGAAAAACCCACATGTTTCTGTGCACTCTAGAGAAGCATATGGCATTGTAATTCTCATATATCACTATGCAAAAGAATCTCCTATGGAATTCTGTGGCTCTTAACGTTTGGTGTACATATGATGCAGAGATTCTGAGTTATTATGTGTGGAGTGGGCTCCAGTTTCTCAGCCAGGGATTCTCATTGTTGGCTGGAAATTGAAATCACCTGGAGAGCTTAAAAATATTGACGCCTAAGTTCTGCTCCAAGAGGTTTTTACTTAATTTTTCTGGAAGTAACAACTGGGCATGGGAATTTTCTAACCGTTCCCAAGTGACTCTAATGTGTAGACAAGTCTGGGACCCTCTGGTTTAGCCCATTGCTTAATTACTTGGGTGGATTAAACCAGTTGTTCTTAAAGTGTTGTCCTGGAACCAGCAGCTTCAGCTTCACAGGACACCTATTTGAATGCAAATTCTTGCCCCCACCCCATATTTACTGAATCAGAAACTCTGGAGGTGGCTCGGGAACCTATATTTTAACAAACCCTCTGGATGATTCCGATGCATGCTATAAAGTTGACACCAACGAGATTAAACAGTTGTTCCTGACCTTTTCTAAAGTGCATCTGTGGGAGTTTCTAAAAAGAAGAGATGTCTTCAAGAGCTGATGAAAACTGCCTTGCAAAAGGACTTTTATAGAAATAACAATAATAATAATAATAAAAGAAGCAAGAGTAGAGAAAGGGGAAAGTGGATGATAATTTGCTGCAAAACCCAGGCAAGTTCTGGAGGAAACATGTCTTCATAAGAGTTAGGGGGTTTGTTGTATGGGCTGGTAAAACCCTGACAGTACCTGCAGGCAAACTCCTACTTATTTTTCAATACCCTTTTAAAATGTCAACCTCCTCTGTGAAGCTCTCTCTGAGCTCTGGTGTAAACTGCATCATCCTTGTATTTACTTAGTGCTTTCTAGTTTCCTTAATTATCTCTTGGCTCACTGTATTGTAGCTCTCTATATTTCTTTCTTCCTCACTAAATTGTGTGATCCTTCCAAGAAAGATCACTGTTTTATTCATCCTTAGGTCTCCAGTATCTAATACACTATCTGGTACATACTAAATGTTCTTAAATTGTTTGCTTAGAGGAAGCATCAGGAATGGCCAGCTTTCTTGTATTAAGAACCTTCAGCTGGGGGTAGTGGCGCACACCAATAATCCCACCCAATAGGGAGGCCAAGGCAGGTGGATCATTTGAGGTCAGCAGTTCGAGACCAGACCGGCCAACATGCTGAAACCTGTCTCTACTAACATAGTGGCATGCGCCTGTAATCCCAGCTGCTACAGAGGCTGAGGTGGGCGAATCGCTTAAATCTGGGAGGCGGAGGTTGCAGTCAGCCAAGATCGTGCCACTGCACTCTAGCCTGGGCGACAGAGCGAGACTCCATCTAAAAAAANAAAAAAAAAAGAAAATTCAAAACATGGATTTACCTTTGTGAATTAATCATAGTCCTGGGTTCAACTCTCTGAAAGGCTAAAGACCTTGATTATCTCAGGACATCATGACTTCACGTCTCTTAATGGTGGCCTTATACCACAAAGTTCTCAGAGAAGAATATAATTATTAGCAACTTACTATTTTTACCATGATAATTGTCAGGTGCCAAGACTACCATTGTCAACTTTTTTTCATATTTACTCTCCTTGTAGGTGTACCTACATGGGAAATCTAATTAAAATCAGTAGGGATTCAGCTGCCACAGGGTAAAAGCATTTGAGTTCTTGGGTCCCACAGCTTGCCTCTCATCCAGGCACTGGCGTCTTCTGGTTCTTTGTACTTTCCTAATTCTATAATGTACTCTCTTCATTCCACATCTACACACGAACATTCTTCAAACAAGATAAGCACTTAGTAATTTACAGCTACCTTCCATTGCACTTTTCCAAGGTTATACTCAGGTCAAAATGAATGTATGTATGTGTGTTCGCCAAGTCTTTAGAGTAACAGATTTATAGGCAATCCTTTGGTTTAATTTCCTAGATACTTAATCGCATATCCATCATCTGTAGATTTTTACTGGCTTAACTCTCAGAGGACAACCGTATAACCTTATTTTTAAGTTTTTGGAAGGTAGGACACTTCGCTCTCACCTCAGTTACTGCCAAGATTATTATTTTTATTTATTTTTTTATTTTTTTGAGAGTCTCGCTCTGTCACCCGGCTGGAGTTCAGTGGCGTGATCTCTGCTCACTGCAACCTCGACCTCCCAGGTTCAAGCAATTCTCTTGCTTGAACTACTCTCCTGCCTCCCGAGTAGCTGGGACTACAGGCGCATAACACCACATTCAGATAATTTTTTTTTAATTTTTAATAGAGACGGGCTTTCACTATGTTGGCCAGGATAATGTCAATCTCTTGACCTCGTGATCTGCCCACCTTGGCCTCCCAAAGTGCTAGAATTACAGTCATAAGCCACCACGCCCAACCAAGATTAATCATTTCTAAATGTTATAGAAACTTTGAAATATATGTGTCATTCTCTAAAGTGGAATTATTAAGACCCAGAATGTAAACCAGAAAAAACTGGATTTGTGACTTCTGTGCCAACCCATGATCTTAATATGTATGTGCTGAATGGATTTTTCTATTTTTTTCTACAGGCATTATATCTGATAGCCACTAATGGAACCCCAGAGCTCCAGAATCCTGAGAGACTGTCAGCTGTATTCCGTGACTTTTTAAATCGCTGTCTTGAGATGGATGTGGATAGGCGAGGATCTGCCAAGGAGCTTTTGCAGGTGAAAATAAAATAGGACAATTACAAAGAGAGGCATTATATTGAGCTTTTCCATCTCAATGTGTGACAGTTAGAGAGCTCTGTCAAGAGATGTCTAGGGTTAGGTTATTACCATTTTATTTTAGACCACAGGCACATAACTATAGGCATGCATCTAATACATGATTGATTGACATGTTGCCTTTCTTCTGAGAAGTTGGCAGTGTAACCTATAAATCTCTTTTGTTCTTCCTGGAGTCTTATTTTGCAAGGAAAAAAAAAAAAAAAAAAACAATGTGACCCTCTGGTGTTGGTGTTTTGTTCTAAACTTTACTTGTGCCCCTGGATGTTGTATGCAGGTGCTCTTGGCCGGAGGTAATTCTCTACATAACTATGCAATTATTTCCATGGCATTTGCTACTCTAATGCTTTACTGGTCAAAGCCCCTTTGCTTGTGATGCCAATTGGCAGGCACCTGCTTGCCTGGGTGAGTACCATCCAGTGGTGAGTGCCTCTGTAACCATTTGTCCTTTTCATGGCTCTCAGGGATTGGTATATATAATGAGAAAAAATACTTACTATGTACCAAATTATATCAATAAATTATTTCATTTTTATAACAACTCTATAAGATAGGCATTTGATAGATGTAAAAATTGAGCCTCACAGCTCTTGAATGGCAGAGCTGGGATGTGAGCCCTGAATTGTCTGACTTTCCACCACACATCACACAAAAACCAATTTATATAAAAAAGTCTTTATTTAATAAAGCAGTACATGCCCAGGATTATACACATAGATTCACTTCTGGGGAGTGTTTCTCAGGGACATATATGAAGACAGTTAACATCTAAGAACAATGACTGCTATTTTTCTTTGTAACTTTGAACACATAAGCCAATTAAACAGAAGGTGCAGCACTTGGTTATACAACACATTAACCACAGATTGTTCTAGCCTACCCCCTGAAAGAAAAATGTGTTCCTGTTGCTTCTGAACTCCCTCTAGAGACAGAGCCACACCCAGGCAAAAAGTATTCCACCCTAACTCAGATCATACCTGGGATAAACCTATTTGGAGACATTGAAGAGACTACATCTTCTCTTTTCTGCTACCTGCAAGCATTTCACAGGTTATCATAGGGCCCTAAAATGTCAAATCTGAAATAGCCCTTTGTTAATCCTCTAATTAACCCAGCCTCAAATTACAGATGAAAAGTTAGCTTTTGAGTGCTTCATTTTCATATCTTTCATTCCTCCCACCACGCTACATACACATTCTGATAAACATTCCTCTTATGTCCTCTTGTAAGGATAATTGAAGATATAGGTTCTTTTAATGTGGATTTCCAGCTAAATAGATCATTTAATCAATTATCTAGTTAATTCATTCCCTAATAATACTTTTTTTATATGAACCAGTCAGATAACTGATGCAAAACGGTATTTTGAGTCTACATTGAATAGTTTAGCACGTCTTTTCATTTTATAAATGTAAGCAATAACCTGTATATCTCCATGAGTCCATGCAACTCCATTCTCTGACTCTAGCCTATTATTGTCATTTTCAAAATGAGAAAGGGGAGACATGCATGACATTCACCCCACTGGAAGGCTGGAGAAAAGACACAGGTCTTGAATGTTTGTGTGTCTTTCTGTATGAGCTAAGACTAAGACTCTGTCCATCAATTGATATTTATTGAGCAAGTTCCATTCGTAAAGCGTAAGTGCAGTAGGTGATACAAACCTATTAAAAGGCATAATTCCTTCATTTAAGAAGTTCATAATCTTCTTGAGCACATGAAAAGATAATGTAAAGCTGTTTAGTAATTCATTCAAACCAAAGAGCTGTTCAAATAGTAAATGACATGGTTGATTGGAGTAATACTTCTGTAAGCTAGGGTGATCAGAAAATGGCTGCAAACAGGAAAGAGGTCTGTTGGGCCTTGAAGAAGTGATCAGTTTTAGATAAGTTGAAGAAAGTAGGGGAAGGGATTTGAGATGGAAGTGTTAGAGTATAACCAAAGATATATGGACAAAGTCTATGGGAACAGAATCTAGAAAGTATAGCTGAAGTAAAGAGTGCAAGTAAAGAAGCTGCAGGAGATAAAACTGTGTTGGACCTTGAATATCAGGCTTAAGAGTTGGGGCTGTAGGCAGTGGGGAAACATTGAAGATGTCTGAGGGACAAGCATGATGACAGCTTTGTTTAGGAAGATTAATCTGGTAGTATGTAGTAAGAATTAGCAACAGGAAAAAATGGAGGCAGGGAGACCAAACGGGAGTTATTATAGTTTGGGATTAAGTTGATTAGGACTGAATTATAAAAAGCAAGAGATGGTCTGGTGTGGTGGCTCACATCTGTAATCCCAACACTTGGGGAGGCGGATGTGGCTGGATTGCCTGAGGTCAGGAGTTCAAGACCAGCCCTGGCCAAGATGGTGAAACCCTGTCGTTACTAAAATTACAAAAATTAGTTGGGCATGGTGGCATGCACCTGTGATCCCGGCTATCTGGGAGGCTGAGGCAGGAGAATCACCTGAACCCAGGAGGCCGATGTTGCAGTAAGCCGAGATC